AAGGCAATTCATGATTTCCAGCATAAGTAAAGAGCTCAATTATTGATACCAACATTTAAATATCATCTTCCCTATCTTGTTGGGGTTTTTCTAGTGTAGAATTGACTTATTTTTCAGTAGTGATAGGATTTTCATTGAGCTCCACAGGCTGGGCCTCTGAATCCAAGCAGAGGCCAGGGGCCCTCTGAAAGGGAATCTTTTTTTTTCCTTTTTGCTTTCCATCCTCACCCCGTCCATGGAGAGCTTTCTCCCGTGTGCAGGCTCCGGCTGGAGGACAGGATCTGGTAGACAAGTCTGCCTTGTGTTACTGAGCCAGAGGTGAAATAACATTTTACCTGTTCAGTCCTCTGCCGTGTCTTTAAGGCTGTGCAGTGACCCATTCAACTGGAGATTTAGAACTGTTTTATAACCAGAACTATTAAGTAATCATCTGTTAATGTTTTTGGGGTTTATAATGCTGAAGGCCGCTGTAGGAAAGAGGATAGTTTTTTGTTGGAAGCTTGGTACCAACGTCCCTTTCTGTAAGGAAACGATCCATAAGGAAATCTGTGTTTTCTATTAGCATCTTGCTCGAAATCAGTATTTTGCGTCGTGCTGTAGAACTGTCCTGCATGCCAAAAGGTTCCGTTTTCTGCAAAATGGTTTGTTGAAAGTATTTGCGGATTTCTGTGCTCGTGCTCTTTCTGCTCAGGCTTTATTCCGATTAGGGCTCCGTTTGGTTGCTAGGTAGATCCCAGCCCGCGTGTTGGATGCACGCCAGGTGTGTTCTGCACGGCTGTATTGCCACAGAAATTACAGTCATTTTTGGTTGTCTTTAATCTTTATCGTAACGTCTGTAATTCCACAGAAGAAAAGATTCTGATTCAGAGTTCATTTAAACCATGAGAGGGACTTCCATATTGGTCTGGAATACGGTCTGACTTTAATAGGGATTTTCAGATTGTGGGTCTGAATACTGACAACTGCAAATTTCCGCTGTTTTCAAGTTCTGTTCAAGTCTGGTTCTGTTGATGGATGTGGCACATAATTGCACTTGAAATTAATTTCATTGTCCACATATTTTTCATGTTACTCCAAAGTTTAGCTATTTGGAAAAGTAGTGTTGGTATAAGTACGTGTATTTCATAAACAATACACTTACTCCATTTTAGCAAGATTTTAAAACATGTTTTGAAATATTGGTTTCCTCGTTAAGCCCTCTAAAAGTGACCATTTGCTTTTCATCTCTTTGGGAGTTTTGTTGAAATTATGGATTAAATATCAGTAAAGCTCTCCAAAACGTTATCCATCTCATCCATGACCTACGTGGTTCTGGGATGTAGGTTATTTACCCGGCGTGGTGCGGGTGCGTTGGGCTGGAGTGGTGCTGTCCCGAATATGTCCGTGGGAAATACTGGTGTAAATCCTCTGTCAAATGCAGCAGGGATTCAGACCACTTCTGGCAGCACACCATCGGTGAACGGAGTAAATGGGACTTTCCTGGGTTCACTTTGGACTCTTTTGCCATATATTGTCAGGGCGTTTGCTCCTGCTTGTGTTGAGCGTTTACTTGGGAGAAGAGTCACCCAGTACTGCTGAAGGCTGCTCATGAACAGTGGCTTTGCGAAAGCTGTGAATGGGAATTTATGAATTGACATGCCTTTAGATCCCAAGAGATTATTTTTTTCCTACCTTGTGTTATCACTGGTTTAAATGCTTAGTTAAACATTTTCTCTGCAGATTTTTTCTGTTTCTGAAGAGCAGCCGTACATTCAGAAGGTTCAGGTTTAGTGGTGGATCTTGTATCTTCTAGAAACTCACTCCCTTGCTGTATAAAAGCCTTCCAAGGATCTGTCTGGAGCATCAGGCTGGGTTCTTATCTGTGTGTTCGTTGTTCTGCTTTCCAGCAGTTGCCTGCCAGCCTTGGGGCTTTTCTTAACTGGTTTTATGAACTGAGTACTATCCTGGCCTGCTAAACGGGCTTGATTTATGTTTTTCCTTGGATTTTTAAGAACGTACTAGGTATATGTACGTATTTGCTGCTCTAATGGCAGAATAGTAATAGTTTCTTAAAGGGAAGGAAGTTTCTCCTCTAAAACTTCTCTTGTGGGCGGCTGAACCGTGTGGAGCTGCTCTTCGGGAGGCACCAAGAGACTGAAGGTTTGACCGTGCTGCAGTGATGCTTTTGCAGAGATTTTTGGAACTTTAATGACTTTGGGTTTGCAGTGGTTAAATACCATGAAGAAATCCATCTGCCAGTCGTAGTCATTCCGTGCTGTTTAGAATAATACTACTTCCCGTCTTTTTGGTTTGTGCGTTTATTTCCATGAGCTTGCCACAGGACTCAGGCATGAGGGTGAGTCATGGATACGATCCCGGAGCAGTAGCTGTCCTCAGAGCATCACTTGTTATTTCTGTTTTGTTGGGTTTGAGTCACAGGTCTGAAGCCAGTGACACAGACTTCCCCAACATGCCATCTGGCAATTCAGCGTGTTTGGAAATCCGGATGTTGAGTGGGCACTGGTGTGTTTGGGCAGAGGGAGCAGAACTGCGTTACAACATACTCATGTTTTTGGGTTGACTTGTCCAAGGGAGCGTGTGTATCGCACAAAATGATAGCAAAATCCGCTGTTTTTAAAAATTATTCCTGGATAGTGTGTAGATCTGCATTCGTTACTCATGTATTGGTCACTTAGTTCCTGTTTGCCAAAATCCGGGCTCTAACTTCTTCCGGAGCGAGCTGTTTGAGGAGCTGTGTGTGGCACAGCCGAACAAGTGAGGCTCAAGAAAGCCTTGGTCTGACAACTGGGGTTTTCTTGTTTGTTTGCCACTGTTTTCCAAGGAGCAGAGGCTGGAGGCTGCTTGCATCCTTGGCTTTGGGTAGAGCATTTCTTTGATGAGCCAGGATTTGAAGTGCACCCTGCCTCGTATTCATAGCAGATATCGCTTCTCTGTGCCAGGTTTTTGCCCTGTGCAGCCGATCAGTAGGATTCTGTTAATCTAAGCAAAGGGGTGAAAAGGGGCATCCCTGGAAGGGGTTTGTCTGTTCCGAGCTCTCCAGTTGAGTGCTCAGTTAAAAAGTTCAGCTTAGTGCAGCTCGCAGAGGGGACGGTGACGAAGGTTTCAGCCAACTTGTATTTTCCTGTTCCCTGCACTTCAGCTGCTTCCCCCAACCTGAGTGAAGAGTGTCTTCACACTGATGGTTTCTTCTGTGCTTACACATTTTAGCAACCATATGACATGATTTTTAGCAAATGGGGCAGGGGAGACAGGGCAGAGCAGACTACAGCGACCTTCTTAACGTTCTCTGTGTTTCAGCAGTTTTGTTAGCGTTTCCTACAGGTATGAGCTGGGTATGAGCTGTGGCATGTATGTCTTTGTAATATTAAAATAAGCTATCGAGTCATTTACGTCACTCAAATGTTTAGTAGTAACTTTTTGCATATGCTTATATTCTGAAAATATAGCTAGAGTAAATTGTAGAGCTGCTTTTACTCATGTGACAGTATTAAAATGAAGAAAAAGTTGAAGGGAACAGATGCTTGGAACAAGTTTTGCATAAGCATTGTCTGTGAGGGTGTTTGAAATGGTGCTTCTTGGTTTGTGTTTTTGTTTCATCTTATGGCTCAAAGCCAGAATTTTTTGGTAGGTTTCTGGGTAGAGCCAGACAAATGTTACACGGGAACGTAGCTTTGATGTTCACCTATTCTCAGTACATGGTTTCCTTCAAGATAATGTGATTTTTTTTTTGTTTTCCAGGAATGATGGAGATTAATCAAAAGGCAAATAAGGCATTTTTACCAGCACTTGACATTTTAACTTTTCTATGAAAATGAGTGGGCTGGAATTGCTATCTACGTCACTGAGTAGGAGTAGAGAGGAGAACTTTTAACTAACTTAATCGAATGCTCTGTAAATCATGACATTTGTATGATGAGTAATTTTTAAAAACTCGAGCGTGTTGGTATTGTTGTTGTTTCTTGACTGGAAAGAGATCTTTTAAAGTGGAAATACCAGTAGAAATTCTTGAAAGTGGTCTGTGTTTACTACTTTGTTTGGTTTTGTAAGGCATGAATAACCCAGACCTTGAGCTGAACGTTCTCATCTAGATGATGCAAAGGAAATTAAATAGATAACTCTGTGAGAATGTAACTAGACAGGCATTTTTAGCTGACTTTCAAAATATCCATCGCTTATTGCAGACTTTGATGGTTTCTCTGAGCAGCTGTGGGTGTTCTACTCTAATGTATAAGTAATCAAGAGTTTGCAATCCTGTGTCTGAATCCGAGCCTGTCTTCTTCTGGTCAATCGTCTTTATCGGTGCAGATAGACAGGAGGTAATGGTTTTGGTCTGCAGCCATTTTCAGCCAACAAAGTTCAAGAGTAATCTGTCTTCCAAGACTCAGCTAGTAATAGCAATGAAATTAAGAGTTTATCACAAACAACATATGTCAGTCCAGAACTACTTCTGTGGTTTTGTACTCTCTGGCAACTTCGTTATGACTTGGGTGTTCAGAAAAGACTTGTAAAACTTTTTTGTGTTCTAATGGCAGACAGGCTTTCCACAGCAGTGCAGTGTTACAAGGAACAGCAGCTTGCTTTGTTTCGGAAATCTGATTTTGTTAATGCTAATCACAGAAGCTGGAGCTCTTCTGTAAGAAAACAGTCTAGATGTGGGTGGAGGTTCAAGGAGGGAAAATGAGCAAGTGTTCACTTAGGACTTAAAAGGCTAGCATGCTGTTTGGTGCAGCTCGTTTTCCCTTCTCCCAGGGTGCTGGCTCTGGTGCCTGCCCGGTCATCCTGTGAGTGCGTTCAGGGAGTTTCCCAAGACTGAAAAAGGGGAGTGCATTGTCTCAATGGAGACAAGCGTGTGTACCTGCAAGGAGCCTTATGCATTTTTAAACTGCTGAAATGTAAGCAAGTACCTTTGCAACACAGCTTGTCTGTTGTGCTTATCTTCTAATCTCTGGTGGTCTGTGTTTTTTTTTCCTTCCGCAGGACCCGTCGGGGCACAGCCCCTACTCATGGTGCCCAGACGTCCTGGCTATGGCACCATGGGCAAACCCATTAAACTGCTGGCCAACTGCTTCCAAGTTGAAATCCCAAAGATTGATGTCTACCTCTATGAGGTGGATATCAAACCAGATAAGTGTCCTCGGAGGGTGAACAGGTAAGAAGGTGAAATTTGTCCTGTAAATTATACTGAAATTTTTAAGCAACAGAGGGACCTACTGAAGTAAATGTAGTCCCTACGTAGCTTAAATATAGTATCTGCTCAGTAAATGACTTTGGATAGTGTGCTGTGGGTTATGCAGAGAGGAGTGGCTTTCATTAGTCTGAACTGAAATCAGGATACTGAAATACTTGCTTTGAAGACTTTTCCTTAGAAATATGTTTTTCCCTTTCTCTTGCATGCTGTGACAGTTATTTCGGAGAAGTCAGTGGATTCACATAGACTCACCTATTCTGAAATAGTTTCTGACCGACATCCTGTCTGCATGCTTGTGTTTGGAATAAAGAGGGGGTTTAGTTCCTGAATAGCTGCTGGGGTTTTTGAAATTCACCTGCACCTTTGTTAGCTTTTAGCTGTAGGGAGGCTTTAAAGTCTCGAGTGTCTTCCGTTTCCTTTTCACTTTCCCTTGTAGCGATGTTCTTTACCACTGCTTCCGCTGCGTTGTGAACTGGAAGGCAGAAGGTAAATAAAGCTTTGAAGCGTGCGGTACGTGAGATGAACAGCAGAGCCGCAGCTGAGAGCTCCAGTACAGGAGTTTCATTTTACTGAGCCTCTTGCTTTCTCCCTCCTGCTCCTCCTCTTCATCATTAACTTTTACCCCTCTGCTTTTGTCACAGGTTGTGTGACAGCAAGGTGGCACTTGCAGAAGTAGTTTCTTTTGCACACTTAGCCCTGCGCGTAGGCTTGTAAGGGAGCAGTGGGGTGCAGAATGGGGCTTTCAGATCAGATGGACTTGTGCAGGAGTGCAACTGAGTACTAAGAAGATACTTTGAAGTTGCCTAAGTATATTGATTTGCTTTTAGCCAGTGAAGGAATTTGAGTTCTGAGAGTTTAGTACCATAAAGAGCTGTGAAATGGAGAATTCCCTTTCCCCAAGTCCCAGCTGAGAGGTGAAAGCACTGCTACTAGTTTTGCCTGAAGAGGAAGTCAATATTTATCATCTTCCTGAAGTACTTTAGGTTGGTATTGCCTGGTCAGGAAATAGTAGGTATACTAGCATGCTTTTGCTTTGCAAGAATGCTGCTTTGCATAAGCTTAAGAAAAGTGCTTAAATTCTGTAGAATAAGGGAGTAGCATTGTATCGAGCAAGATACAGCTGTGCCAGTGAAACACAGAATCTGTGAGGAATTCAAATCCTGAAGGCACCTTTTAGAGATATTGCAAAAATCTCTTTGGACCTAATACATCTAATACATGTATCAAGAAGCCTTTTTTTTATATAAGATGAAAACTTTACTGTTTTTGAAGTGTAATTTCAGTACTTTTACCAGGCTGCAATTTTTTTTTATTCCCATCAACTCATAATAGAGAAAGTCAGGAGAATATAATTGTGTACAAATTGGATCCAGCTTTTACTTGATTTTGTCATAAAAACTCACATTATTGAGGACTTAAAGCTAAGACGTTTTTGTTAGAGTACCTCATTTTTATATACAAAGTAGGCAGAATTCAAAACTCGTGTTAGTTGAAGAGCAGATGAACGTTACTGGGTAGACAGTGCAATGAACTGGTGCTCCCATGAGCTAGCATAGCTTTCAGTTGTGAGTTTGTATTAGTTTTCCATGATGCTAGCTTGTGGATTTCTTCCAAGGTAAGTGTGTCCTTGCTTTGTGTAATAAAGGTTATACAAAGGCCTCAGTCGTTTCTGGGACTTTCTGAAATTATTTCAGTAACAATATTTTCCAGTATTTGAGCATTTGCATTGACTCTGATTTTATTCTTTAGTGTTTATCTGTTACTTTATTGGAAGTACACGAAGCACCCGTTTGGAGTATCAGTGGGTGTTCTATAATTCGCCTGAGTAACACGGTTGTTGAAACTTCTTCAGCAAAACACGGGGTGTGTGGGAGCCAGTTCCAGTCTGATACTTTCTTTGAAAACATCTTCAGTGCAAATATCAACTTTTCCAGGGAAGTGGTGGACTCAATGGTGCAGCATTTTAAAGTGACAATATTTGGGGACCGTAGACCAGTTTATGATGGGAAAAGAAGCCTCTATACAGCCAATCCTCTTCCTGTGGCCACTACTGGGGTAAGATAACTGGGGAAAAAAAGATACTTGTAACAGCTTTGTAGGAAAGAAAAATAAACCCAAATTCTAATATTGCCCAGTTCAGAGACAATGAAAGTATCTCACAGTGTCTGTATTGAAATGCAGTCGTCCTAATGTATTTTCTGCAAATTCCAGTGTGTGTAAATGTGCCTGTAATTGTTGCACTCAGCATCTCCCGTAAAATTTAGTAGCCTCTTTCTACAGCAAAATCTATTAACTAGTCAGTTCTACAGACTGTAATACATTGTCTTACAATGAAGTATTATTTAAAAATCAAACTACAGCTTCTCAGGAATGAAGAGTTTTCTGATTGAAGATGACAAAGAGTTACGTGATCCTCTCCTGCTTGATGAGGACCCAGTTCTCTCTCTTTCGTGCATTTGATAATGTACCTTTATCAAATGTACTGTGTCCTAAATATCTGAGTTTTTGAGTCTCTGGCCCAGTTATGAGAGGGAGTGGAAACTCGAGGCTACCAGACTTGAGATTAAACAGCTGCTTTTTTTTTTGTCCCTCCCTCACCCAGGTGGATTTGGATGTGACATTACCAGGAGAAGGTGGAAAAGATCGTCCCTTCAAAGTGTCAATAAAGTTTGTTTCTCGGGTGAGCTGGCACTTGCTGCATGAAGTTTTGACAGGAAGAACCTTGCCTGAGCCTCTGGAACTAGACAAACCCATCAGCACTAACCCTGTTCATGCTGTCGATGTGGTGCTACGACACCTACCCTCCATGAAGTAGGTTCACTGTCTTCCTGCAGTCTGTCTTTACCTGAAGTATCCCCACGGGGAGACCTTCATCCCTGTTTCTTCACAGGTGAAAAGAAAAATGATCATTCCCCTTACGCAGCACAGCTGGTTAGCTGAACTGGGGAGGCTGGAGCTAATTATGTAGAAGTGTGTATTTCTGTAGATATTTAAACTCCAGAGCAGGTGAAGTATTTGTTTGAAAAGACTAAGAAACAGGAGACACTTACAGTAAGCTTTAGTTGAAATACTGAGACATTACAGTATGCTGTGGCTCTGCCTTCATGTTTTCTGCTCACGTTGAGCCAAGTATCGTGCACTTGATGGCAGTGACTGTCCAGAAGCAGGAGTCTCTTAATTAATCGATACACCCGTCGATGGCGCATGCTTCTCATGTTTTAAATACACAGTTGAGACGAGATACCTGTCCTAGCAAAATCTGTTATTCTTTGTCTCAGAACCCTGAAATATTACAGGAGGCCAAATTAATTTTACTGTGTTTGGTCAATGAAAGTTACTTTTAGAGTTTGCTGGCTTTAGACAGTAGAACTGCTTTGTGCTGATGTTTTTCAAAAAAAGACTTGAGGTTTTTGTGGAAGCCAGTGCTCCTCAGCTACCCTGCATCCTAAGGAAACATGAAAGATGTTCGCCTCTGTGCTAATGCCTGCCCATTACAAACGTGAGGAGGTGTGGAGGTTCGTGAGCAGCTGGTTTTGACCTGAGAGAGAAACGTTGGTGTCTCTAGGTCTTTGTTTTCACCATAGTGATCGCTTCTCTCATTGTACATTGTATTCAAATGTTCCCTAGTAAAATATGCAAAATGGTATTTGAGGGTCAGTCCAGTAAATACAATGCTGTTGTACAGAACCTGCTGTGATGGAGATTATACTTTCTTGAATTTGAAGATGGGAAGGGGTAAGTTAACTTAGTTCTTGGTTTGTTGCAAAAACCCAAAGTGATTGTGTGTTGCTAAACCTAGTAAATGTTTTGCCTGAATTTAAAAACACTGCGATGGGAACAGAAGCATTCAGAGTGTATTGTTTAAACTTGGTTCTAGGCACAGATTCCTGGTGCTCAAAATTAAAAAAATAATAATGCTGTGTGTTACAAAGTTTACTGTGGAATTTTTTCTTTGGAAAGCAATAGCATAAACATGGGGTCGTCTTCTTCCCTAGGTATACCCCTGTGGGCCGCTCCTTTTTCTCAGCTCCAGAAGGCTATGACCACCCCTTGGGTGGGGGTAGAGAGGTCTGGTTTGGATTCCATCAGTCTGTTCGACCTGCTATGTGGAAGATGATGCTCAATATTGATGGTAAGTTGAGATTCAGAGTTAAGAATAAAGATAATAGCAAACATATCTCTAAGAATAAAAATTACCTTGGTATTTGGTCCTTTTGCTTGAGTTTGTGGTGCTACGTTTCTGTGTGGTGATAACTTTTGGTGCCGTCTGTGCAGGGGGGTTTAGTAACCAGAAGCTATGTTCTACACTGATTTCTTAATTCGTGTTGTGAATAATAGAGTTAAAGCAGCTTGGGTTATTTTGCTGAATTTATATCAGAATAAGAAAACTTTCAAACTTTAATTGCATTATACACAGGGAGTTTTCACCTGAAAAATACTTGTCTCATTGCTCAGTTTGAAGATGAGTAGTTGTCTCTTGTAATATTCTCATGAAATGCATTAACTGTGAAGCCAACCTACTGCAGAGGTTGTAGTGGTAATAGTAGAGAGACTGTAATAATCAAGTGTATGTATGGATACCTTGGCTTCCTGCTCAGACCAGACCTATATGGCAAAGGCTGCCTAGAAATCCTCGTCCTTTTTTCTGGATTTGTCATCATGTCAGTGTTTCAGCAAAAATTCACCTGCCATATTAGAAAAAAATATCCTGTATAGGAAGGCAAAGCCTAGCATAGCTTGTTTTCCTACTTAATTTCTGTAGTGGTACATCCACAGTGATACAGACGGGTTTCTTAAGATGTGTCTCCATGCAGCTGTCCGCAGTAGGTGTTGTTCAGTACTTCCAAGAAAACTGTAAAATATATCACACACACTTCTGTGAATAGGGCTAATTAAGATGGGCTTTCTTATGCAAAATCAGGTCTGCTTTGCACCACTTGATTAAGTCCCAGATGAATGCATCCGAGATCAACTGGTGCATGTGTCAGACTCCCGGGTTCGGTACGCGCTCCGCGTCTATTTAGTTGTTAAACCCCTATTGAAAAACGTCAGTGTTTGAGATGCAGGTGCTGCCTGAAGTTTTCTCTAATTCACATTCTGTTCCCACTGTCTGTTTGAAATGCTTTATAAACCCGAGGTAAAGAGGCTGGCTTTTTTGCACTGGGTTAAGCACTCTAAATCAGGTTGTGCTTAGCATCTGTCTTGGAGCATAATAAAATGTTGCCGATGATATCGAGCTTTCACGCTGAAAATTTGCAAGTCCACGTGTTCTCTTTTACCTAAATTGTGGATGTGACTTCACGTGGATTAGTTCCTGTAAAATTGCCTTTCAAACAGCAGCTATGGTGTAGCTGTATGTAAAAATCTTCCCTGTCTGAGAAATAACCAGTCCCAGTATCTGTGTGCTAGGTGCTGAGATAACTACAGTTCAGGGAGGACGAGTAATTTACACCAGTTTATGACGTGCTGCACTGTTACTTTCTGTGAAGCAAGTTTTCCTTTCCAGCCTTAGAAAGCGTGGTAGGAACTCCTGCAGCAGAAACTTTCCAGTCCTTTCTGTGAACGAGAAACTTAAGACCCTTTGTAAGCCACGATTTACGGGGCGATCGCTTTACGTTGCGGTTTGAGGCCGCCACGGTTACGTTCAAATCCCGTCGCTTGATTTTGTTCCAGTTGTTGTAGCTTGTAGGAGGTTTTTTCTCTGCAAAATCAGTTTCTCCGTGTTGCTCGAGTTGCTGTGGGAGACGATCTGCGCGTGCCGGTCGCTGGGGCTGTCACCGTTTGTGTCCGTGCAGTAACGGACACCCGGAGGTGCTGGCCGGAGCGCGTCGTGTGGAGTTGGCAGCCCGCTGCAGTGACGTGTGTCTGAGGAATGTTTGTTGCATTAACACAGAGATGTGGTGGTTTTGGTACATGAGATCTGGAAAACTAATGAAATGTGCGTCAAGTATTTCTTTTTGTTGCCACTTAAAGTTTTAAATTCGTGGAGTAGTCTGTGTTTGAGCTGTATCTAGAGCCACCTCATCTTTTTTTATTAAAAGATATTGTTTCAATTGCTTACAACTTTGTCAAGCAAATTGTTTATGTTCTTTCTTCCATGGAATTTGTCAACTGTCCTGTTTAAAACCAGTGTGTTATCACTTAGTGTGATTGTGTCATTAGTATGCAGAGAAGGTAAGAGATTTTGGTAGATCAAGGGTTGCATGCACCACTACGCTAACTTAGTTTCTGTATAGTCCAAATAGTGCTCATGTTTCTACCAAATACTGTTTCAGTAATTGAGCAGATCCTATCATTGACAAAATTGTATTGCATATTGAATTATCTTAGCTTTTCATGGTAAAAAGTCTTCAGTAGACATATAGTAATACTGTCTCTGCCTGGAGCTCCATATAGAGTCAAAAGAAAATGTCTCTCAGGGACATTACAGCTCTCTAGAAATAAATGTTGTCTGGGGAAAAACCCTTTCAAAACTCGAAATGCAAAGTAGTTGGAGGATGACAATGCTGGAGACTGATGTGTCACTGTGGGCCCTGTGCTGGCTTTTGCACACTTGGTCGTTGCAAGGCTTGCTCATCTGTTTTTAAAAATGCGTGCTGCACAACATTTGCTTGAGGGTTATGTGGAATTTGGAAAAGTATTGATTTATATACTGCTTCACAACATTCTGACTTGAGGGGTTTTTTTTAACACTTAATGTTTTGCTCTTTTTTAGTTTCTGCCACTGCCTTCTACAAAGCACAGCCTGTAATTCAGTTTATGTGTGAAGTTCTTGACATTCATAATATCGATGAACAACCAAGACCTCTGACTGATTCTCATCGGGTAAAATTCACCAAAGAGATAAAAGGTGAGTAGAAACGTATCTGTTCTGTTCCGGGTAAAGCTAATTCTAAGGGACTTGTTTCACTGGAAGCCTCCTGGTTACCGGCATCAGCAGCGCCCTGGAGCAGCCAAGAGAAGTGCAGTGTGCCCTGTTTGTAGTTCTAGTCCTGAATGAAACAATGCAGCTCTACAGAAATGAAAGACAAAAAATGAGCTATGTTCCCAGTGGCTGAAAGAGATAAAGAGAAATTGTGTTGTTTATTGCCTGGACAGAGGCAAGTGGCTGTTGCCTGGCTGACCTTTGGTAAGCGAGAGAGTCGCTGGGGCCATGGTGGCAGTGTGCTGTAGGTCCCCTGCTGTTTAAATGCTGAGGCAAAGTGAACATTGATTTCAAAGCTCACATCATTGATTCTTTGAAAGCATGCTGTTGCGGGGACTTCTAATAACTGATTGCCTTATGGAAAAACGAGCACCACTTGCTAACTTGCAGCTGAAGGCCAAATTCCATTCCAAAAGAATTGCATAAGCTGCTGGTTCGAGTAGTTTCACTCCATGTATGCTACTTTGCTGTGTGTTTTCCCATATCTTTTCATTCCAGTGTAATTCACAGAGATGGAAGCCTTGAAAGAGCTCAGCTCCTGAACACTTGTTACTTGATGCAAGATTAGACTGTACTGAAATACTGGACAGCAAAAAAATAAATCTGAACTATACTCATAAACTAATGTGTTCACAGGATAGTCATTAGTGAAAAAAACCTTTTTGTAGTCGTCCTAACATGCCTCCTTTTTGCATCTGCCTGTCTGTTTTTGTTCGGGAAGACAGGTAACTGGAGAATGAGAAGCTGTCTCTGCTTGATCTTGGATGCCTCAGACACTTGGTTGCCATAGTCAGACAATATTGAAAGGTTACCTTTGCTGTCAATACTTATTTTTACTGGCATAGTATCTGGGAACTTTAGCCAAGATGTTGTGATCAGGTGTAGTGAAACAAACCCTGCGTTACAGAACTGGCAGCCTGTGAGCAGCTCTGTGGGAGGGCAGTGCCTTCTGCAGTGTCCCAGCAGATTAATGACAAAGCAGTGAATGGGTTCCAGATATCTGTGTGTTCACAACACTCTTCTGCTTGGCCACGGTGCTCCATGGTTCCTTTTTTTGTGTTTTCTCTTAATGCTATATCAGGGCAGTGGTAGTTTATTGTTGGTTATGCCATCCTCTAAGCATACTGATGTTAATGTTGCAATTAGTGTTGTCAGGAATCAGTGAAGTACAGTTGACGTTTCTTTAGGATGTCTGTGGCCCTATAAGCTAAGCATGGTATGTGCTGTCTGGTACTTAAGGGGCCTGATTTGATGTGGGGTGTTCAGTCTGTGGTTCACAATCCACAGAAGCCTCAACGGGACAAGTCATCCAACTGCTTTCTCAAAAGCCTTTACTAGCAGACTGTAGGTTGAATCTTTTGGGTGATAAGGCTCTGTTTTCAACTGCCCTTTCTTCTGCGCGGCGAGGGAAAAAGGGCATAACAGTGTGCTGCTGCTATGCAGCACGTGGGTGACAAGCTCAGTACTTCCAGCAGATGTGGAGTCTGCTCTCTCTGCACGGTACAGGCAGTGCACGCACAGCTAATAGACACAGCCCCTGCCAGCCCCCTGGAGCTGCCGTTGTTGCTGTCATCATCATTGCAGAGAGGGTCAAGTCTGCTGAGCCTCTGCTGTGTGGGCTGGCAGCTTCTAGGAGATCATCAGCTGCTCGAAATCTAAAGTTCAGCTTGGTCAGTGAAATTAAAGAAAATTACAGGCTGAACGTGGACACAAAGCTAGGAGGGAAAATGAGCAATAAGGTAGAAGTCTGGTTTTGCCCTTTTAGTTTCAATTATATTGGAACTGCTGGTTTTGAGAAGCGTACAGCATTGAGAATGAGAACAAAAGAATATGGTGAAGTCGTCTGTCTGAGATTAGTCACATGCCTGTTAAACGAAACTGCTACAAGAAATTCAGATTGCATTGAACGTTAAATATTATACATTATGAGTTGGCTTTGGGGATAATACCTGATTAGTCAGAACTCAAATTACAATCAAAGCCAAACGTTTAGAGAATAATAATTTCTTATGTTGTGCTGTTTGATGCTGACCATCAAAGCAGTTAGATTAGAACATGTTCTATTATGTGAAACCTGGTGTTTCCTGTGCATGTTTTTGTGTAGTTATGGCATCAGGCTTTTTGGTGCTTCTGTGCAGGTCTAAAGGTAGAAGTGACTCACTGTGGGACGATGAGGAGGAAATACCGTGTTTGTAACGTAACGAGAAGGCCGGCAAGTCATCAAACGTAAGATGCTCTATGTCAGAGCACAGAATGTGTGATAGCCTGACACTGATCGTGTTTCAGGACCTAATATTTTATTAATTTTGAGGGTGTTGGTACTTGCCGACAGAGGTTTCTGTACGTTTTATTGAAATGTGTGTCTCTTCAGCTTTCCTTTGCAGTTAGAAAATGGCCAGACTGTGGAGAGAACCGTAGCACAGTATTTCAGAGAGAAATACAACCTCCAGCTGAAATACCCTCATCTTCCTTGCCTTCAAGTGGGACAAGAACAGAAACACACCTACCTGCCTTTAGAAGTAACGAACTTATTCTGATAAATCAGCTTGTTATTGGTGGGCTGGATAATGTGGCAAAACGTTGAGCAGTACAAGCGTGTTTACGTATTTACATGTCTGTTATTCTTTTATTTCACTAAAGGCTATCTAAATTTAAGAAGTGCTTTAAAGTTTAGAACTATGAGAAAGAATTTGCAGTTGCTTAAACGCATTAGGGGTGTGTAATCGCTGTTGTCTGTTGATTTTCCTTTGAGGTATGTAACATTGTAGCTGGCCAGCGGTGCATCAAGAAGCTGACGGACAATCAGACATCGACCATGATCAAGGCCACGGCGAGATCTGCTCCCGATAGGCAAGAGGAAATAAGCAGACTGGTTAGTTCTTTAATCTCAGTTCGGTGTGATACTGCTCACTAAATGGCACTGGACTGGACCACATTAGTGCAAAAACTTCCTATATGACCAACCGAGTCTTTTCCTTCCTTCCTTCTAGCCCCTTAACTTACCAGATTTTAACTACTTTTTTTAATAGGATTTATTTACAGTAGCTTGCAACAGTAGCACGAGTCTAGCACAGAGCAGTATGAGCTCTTGTGTTCTAGTCTTTACTTCCAACTAGGTATTGGTTCAGTGTTTTGCTGTACTGAACCCTCAGGGTTTTTAAACAAATTTGTAAAATGAACTTGGGTTTTAGTACCCAAACTCATTATAGTGAGATTTTACTCTAGGTACTTTTCTTTTCCTTGATTCCTGTTGATGTTTGAACTCCTATTTTTTCATTTGTTTTTTGCTGTTATAGGATGCCTACGGTTTGTAGCGGTGCTGAATTTTAAAATCATGAGCCAGACTCTGAAGACTTGGGTCTCTGAGTCTTTCCCTTTTTTTTCTGATAGTAGTTTGAAGATGGTAGCATCAATCTAACACTATTTAATTTTAATAGGCACTGAAAACTTGATTTGCCCAGAATCATGCAAGGAATCTATAACAAGGTAGAAGAATGATTCCAGGTCTCCTGAGCCTCAGTCTTGTACTTGGGATGTTTGATTGCTTTCTTTAGTACACACTCAATGTTTCCACCTGATAACTCCAAGAGCTTTTCTGGTTGCTGAATCCAGACACTGTAAACATCAGGATTTTCTCTGACTTGAAGTACTGTAAAACTTGAATACTTTTAGTTGAATAATCTTATAAACAGATAGCTCTTATTTGAAATGGTCTGACAAGTTAGCAAAATTTTTTAAATTAAAATAAGTCTGGTCTGGGAAATAGAGAAGACATGAATGTGCAGTAATAAAAGGAATTGATTTGTTTAATCTTGAGTGTGCTTGTCGCTAAAGGAGAATGCTTTTTATCTATCCTGTGAGTAAATGAAATGCTCATAAATAAGCATACCACGAATGAGCACTTGAGTAACTAAGGGAACAAAAAATCTCATCCAGTATTTCTAATGGTATTAGTTGTTTTCACTGGGGATAGGTTGAGAGTGTTGAGCAGTTAAATCTGAGCCTTTTCAATGGCAAGGGGAATTGTTGTAGAACACTTCTGCAGCGTTCTTCCTGTTAGTCTTTATTATCTGAATTAGATAATTCTGTAATATGGAAAAACTCTTCTTCTAGGTGCGAAGTGCAAATTACGACGCAGACCCATTTGTTCAAGAGTTCCAGTTCAAAGTCCGGGATGAGATGGCCCACGTGACGGGGCGCGTGCTCCCAGCCCCGATGTTGCAGTATGGAGGACGGGTGAGGTTTTTGCTGCTTCTTGTGTTTCTGTTTCGAAGAGTGATTTCCCACACACATTGACTCTTTTGGTCAGTTCAGTTGCACTGTGCAGTACAGGGATCAGAGTTTTGAATGGTAAACTTTTTTTGTTATCCTGAAACTGAAAATAGCGTAGGCTTTTTCTGTTTCAGTCACTTCAATATCTGTTGCTTTTGTTTCCACAGAATCGAACGGTGGCAACCCCGAGCCATGGAGTATGGGACATGCGAGGGAAGCAGTTTCACACTGGTGTTGAGATCAAAATGTGGGCTATAGCTTGCTTTGCCACACAGAGACAGTGCAGAGAAGAAATACTGAAGTAAGGCATGTCAGAGTTTAGGCTTCGGACCATTCTCTTAATGAAGCCATCTTAGTGAAAATATGAACATAGACTTCTGACGAGTGTTTTACCTGATTTTAATAATCCAAGATGCTAGGGAGAGAATCCAAGCTGGTTTGCTTCCTTGCTGGAAGCTACAGTCAAAACACTGTAGCTGGGTACACAGTGGGATTTTGGTCCTGTGACATTGCTGCTTTCTCTCTAGTTACTTCTAGCATCTTGAATGAAGTATGAAAGATGTCTAAACTTTCTTTTTTTCCCCCCATTCTGGCTTATAATGTTTCAAGACTGTGCAGCCTCCGCATAATGAACACTTTTAAAATGCTCCTTTAAAAGATGTTTGGAACTGTATTCATTTGAGGAACACAGTTCTTCTGTCCCCTTTTGTTTTGGTTATGTGCTATTGCCACGGCAAAAACTCAAAAAACTTCTCATCTTTAGGGGTTTCACAGACCAGCTGCGCAAGATCTCCAAGGACGCAGGGATGCCGATCCAAGGGCAGCCCTGCTTCTGCAAGTACGCCCAGGGTGCCGACAGCGTGGAGCCCATGTTTCGACACCTCAAGAACACCTATTCGGGGCTTCAGCTCATCATTGTCATCCTGCCAGGGAAAACCCCGGTGTACGGTAAGGGAAATGCCTCTGTCTTCACCTGTTTGGTCAAGTATTGTTCTGAGAAATTTGCTGACCAGCAAATTAGAAAATTCTTTAGGACTGTTCTTTAGATGTTAGAAACCAATGGTTTATGTCTGAAGATAAAATGAATTGGAAGCAGGTATGAGCCTGCAGATGAGTTGGAAGTTTTATTTTGCAGAGTATGCACATTTAAATTATTGTGACTTAAGCTAAGATCAAAACATAGCAGTAACTTGAAATGTTGAATCCTGATATTTGCTTCTCAGCGGAGGTGAAGCGTGTGGGAGATACGCTGTTGGGAATGGCCACACAGTGTGTTCAAGTCAAGAACGTCATTAAAACATCTCCACAGACCCTATCAAATCTGTGCCTGAAGATTAATGTTAAACTGGGAGGAATCAACAACATCCTTGTACCTCATCAACGGTAAGAGTCTTTATGGAGACTGATTTGGGTTTTGTCTTAATAGACGTGGTTAAGGTTGATATTTAGCACCCAAAATTTAAACGCAGCCAAGTTTTTTAAGTTCAAATATTTGTCTGGTAAAAGTATGTGATATTTGAGGTAGAAATAAATTTCTTCTAGCACAGGCTCTGAGTGGTTGCTGGTCAAAGTTTAAACATGAAACTAGGGTGCGTGGAAGAATATCTGGAAGGCACTGAGAGACTGTCCTGCTGCTTAAACGCTCTAAGCCAGAACAAGCTGCGTGGTGCTGCGCTCAGCCGTTTGTTGCACGGCTGACTCGGTACCAAAGCGGTGCTGAGCTGACTGCAGGCACTCCTGTGATCGACCCGTGGAGTGATTGTTTCTGTAGGAAGCTCTCTGTGCTGGGCAGGTGCAGCCTGGTGGCTTTTCTCCACTGGAGCTGTGCTGCAGTTAAGCAGCGGCGTGTTTTGGAACGACAGCTGCGGTGGTTTCCAAGTTCATGTCTCGTGCACAAAGATGTCGTTGTTCAGGCTTGGCCAGGGTACCCGATAAGGCAACTTCTCGGTGCAGCTGAGCTGAAATAGAAACAAACCCCCATACTGAGCAAAACCTTGTGCCAACTGTTCATCTGCAAGTGTGACTTAGCACTTTTTTCTTTTTGAAGACCTTCTGTGTTCCAGCAGCCAGTGATCTTTTTGGGAGCCGATGTCACTCATCCTCCTGCTGGAGATGGAAAGAAGCCTTCCATTGCTGCTGTAAGTTTTATTAAATCAGCATTGTTTTTTTCATCTTGGGTAAATGTTGTAATAGTAAATGCAACTCGGGGACTATGTCTGTCAGATACGTTTCAGGGCTTACACTAGTTCTTTGCACGTTTTCAATGTTATTAAAAATCATGTCTCTAAAACTAAAACACTGCTTGATACTCAGACTGTAGTCTTAGCTTTTTAATTTTTAAATCAAGGTAAAATGGCAGTTACATTAAATAATATATTTCTGCAAAAATATTCTAAATTAAAAAATGGACCTTTGATGTTAGTTAATAACATTTTTGTATTTTTAAACAAGAAAAATGTAATTAAAGGCCTGGTTTGGCAGGAACATTTGGTACTTCTTAACCTTTTGTGTTGGTACAGACCAGGAGATCAAGGTGGTGGTTGGATGCTTGGTCACTCCCTTCCTATTTTGTCCCCTTGGTATTTTACTTGGCATTGATTGCAGCTACGGAAACTGCATCCTTTTTTAAAGTAACTAAGGCAAACTGAAGTGTTTTTCTGTGTAAAAGATGGGAAAATTTAAAAAAAAAAAGTCTGGATTATAAGAATATACATTAGTGTGCTGTCAACAGAAGGGAAGACTCCAGTTCTGCAGATGTTTCAGGGTGCTTGGAGGGCAAGTTTTATACCTCTTTTCAAAAAGTGTTAAACCTGTACCTACTACAAGTTCCAGTTAAAAACGTTACTGTGGTGGTTGTTTTAACATAAGCATCTTTTACTTGAAAATTGTTCTTGACTTTTTTTTTGCTGTTTTTAGCTTTTTTGGTATAGATTTGGTCTTGAAGCCTTTACTCATGTAATCTTCCCCTGCAGGTTGTAGGTAGTATGGATGCTCATCCAAGCCGGTACTGTGCCACGGTGAGAGTTCAGCGACCCCGGCAGGAAATCATCCAAGATCTCGCCTCCATGGTGAGAGAGCTTCTCATCCAGTTCTACAAGTCCACGCGGTTCAAGCCCACACGTATCATCTTCTATAGGGACGGGGTGTCTGAAGGACAGTTTCGACAGGTGGGTTCGTTTCTGGGTTTCGTGAAGGACTGTGTTACCACGTAATGACTCCAGTTCTCCTGTTCGATAACCTGTACTGCTCATTGCTTACATTTATGCCAAGATACTACAAAATAATTTGAGACTTTTTAGGAGAGAATTTCTTAAGCATGTTGGGTAAGAAAAGTTGCAAGTTCTTTCCTGTCTGGGAAGGAGAGGTCTTAGAACTTGGGAAACAGTATATTTCGAAGTACTTCCTACGTTTACTAATTGTGTGGCAATGTTGCACTTAGTGTTAACTACAAGCCATTTATTGGGTGTTGTGTGCAGAATACAATGGAAGGAAAACCTAAACTATTCTGTTCTTGTGCTTGTAGGTTTTGTATTATGAACTGCTGGCCATTAGAGAAGCCTGCATCAGTTTGGAGAAGGATTACCAGCCTGGAATAACCTATATTGTGGTGCAGAAACGACATCACACGCGATTGTTCTGTGCTGACAGAACAGAAAGGGTAATCGTGGCCCTGTCTCGTAGCCTTGTGTGAAAAGCTGGAAGTCAAGTGCTTATAATGCTGGAGAAAATATTGGTGTGGGCTCCTCTGTCCATCTGGTTGTCTTTGCATTCAGGGAAGATGTTGAACTGACAGGCACAAAATGTGGCCCCAAACTGAAAAATCGTTGACTTTAGTATGTTAAAAAAAAAAAAAAAATATTCCCCATCAGACTTTGTTGTGTTGCACATTGATGCTATAGTGAACTGTAGCTAATACTCGTGTAACTAACTAGGACCACGTCTCCAGTAAGGGTAATGGAAGAAAATACAAAATCATGGAACCCTGAACTTTTCTGTTCTGAGTGACTTGATGCAAACTCAAGCTGACAGTTGTAAATACAGATGTATGAGCAGCTCTTCTGGCTTTCTGAGATGGAAAGTTCCGAAGTGCTATAGGAGCAATATTCTGGTTTGAGGTGGTAGGGAGCTCTACGGTGCCCGTGTCAAACATCCTAGGCTGCGGTGTTGACACATTCCAGGCAGTACTGAGGCAGTTTATTCGCTGAAACCTTGCATGTGTCAGGTAGAAACCTTTTTAATTACAGTTGAGATGTATAAATGCTCATTAGCTGCACTTCTTAACAAAACCTTTTCTCTAGGTTGGACGAAGTGGCAATATTCCAGCTGGAACAACTGTAGATACAGACATTACACATCCGTATGAGTTTGATTTTTACCTCTGTAGCCATGCTGGAATACAGGTACGATTGTTTCTTTGTAAGTAAATGTGAATTTAGAACGTGTTGGTTTTCTCCCTTTTGTGACACTTGTGTTTACAAACAGTTGTTTAATTGGGAAATACACGTTATTATGGGACTAGTAGTATTATTTGCTTAAGAGGTGGTCTCTGCTACACCTTTAAAACTTACATTGATGGTAAGTCATGCTTTTTGAAGTTTATTTTAAAGAGGTCACTTTATTTTGTACCTTTGCATTTCTGAAAATAAAATTTGCTACTTTTATGATTGATAGCCACAGTGAAATGAACATTTAAGTTTTCAAACATAAACGTTTTGAAAGACCAAAGGCAATGTTTGATTCAGTTTGCTGATTTGATTGATTTGATTCAATTATTTGAGTAACGTAATGATGTAAATGTTAGACTTCTTATTCATCTTTGAGTACATTCAGGGCTGACATAAGACTGAAATTTCTTTGGCTGCTGTTACATTGGAGTTCAGACTGGGTAGTCTGACCCTTTCTGAGCTTAATCTGACTTGATTGTATGGAAAAGCCAGATAAGTGAATTGATGTTCCCTTCTTCTTAGGGTACCAGCCGTCCCTCACACTATCATGTTTTGTGGGATGATAACTGTTTTACTGCAGATGAACTTCAGCTGCTGACTTACCAGCTCTGCCACACATATGTGCGCTGCACACGATCGGTTTCTATACCTGCACCAGCGTATTATGCTCACCTGGTAGCATTCAGAGCACGATATCATCTTGTGGACAAAGAACACGACAGGTAAGTGAAAATGCATGCTTCAGTTTTTGTCCTCGTTGGTCTTTGCTCCGTTGTCAGGCATGAAGCCATCTGACTCTAGAGAATTACTGCTGGCTTTGCGGTTGGTTTTTGTTACCTCTGGGACTAGGCTTATTTAGGTGATAATTTCTGACAGCTGCTGTGTGGTGTCAGACAAGTGGCTTGGTGAATCCTACTGAATAACACTCAGATTAAAAGCTTTAAGTTTAGGCTGTTGAAGTATTCCTTTCCTACTTCGACATGGTCTGAGGGAATCAAGCCACGTGTTTAGTTTTCTTGCTTTAGCATTGAGGTCGTCGTGAATGAGGAAAATGCGAAGTGCCTTCCACTTTCCTAACTCTGCTTTGTAGGGCAAATATTTCATAACCTTCAAGCCATGAGTGTATTTGTAACAGGCTTCTTTTTAGATGAACCAGCCGAGCAGCTAAGGTAAAGGGACTTGTCCAAAGCCTTGAGGTTGCTGGGAGAACAGACAAGTAGGTTTTCTCAGGATCCCATTCCATTGCTGTTTGCCGTCCGAGGCGCGCAGGCGGCTTTGGACCGAGCTGTGATTTACACCCCTGCCTGTCTCTTTCTCCCTGTCTCGCAGTGCCGAAGGCAGCCACGTGTCGGGACAGAGCAACGGGCGAGATCCGCAGGCCCTGGCGAAGGCCGTACAAATTCACCAAGACACCTTACGCACGATGTACTTCGCTTAAGTCAATACAGCGGCGCGTCCTCACGGAACGGAAGAACTGAGAAATTAAGCCACATACAGTGTATGTTTCCAGTGGGGTTGGTTTATGGGGTGTGCCTCCGATCGTGCGGGGCCAGAGGCTAACCCTTAAATTGACGCGAGGAAGATTGTTTACTTCACCGAGGAACACACGCACTATTATGCAATATGAAACCAGCCAACTGCTTTTTTGGCGCGGTCTCCTGTAGGAAGCACCGCCATCATTTTTATTTTTATTTTATTTTTTTTAATTTCTCATAGTTTAACCCTCTTATGCCTTTACCTCAAGTTGCTCGGCAGCACAACTATCTTTGCAAAAAAAATAATAAAACAAAAAAATCGAGGGTGTAATTTAAAAAAAATAAGCAAACCACCTTTATAGGAACAATCACAGTGATTGTTTAGGGGACAGAAGTGTGCAAAAAAAAAAGATAATTAAGTTTTTACCCCACTGCATTGAGGAATCTTTCTCTCAATATTGCCATCAAGCATTCGAATGTGAACATATCCAAGTACATTTGAATGTACAGCACTAGCTAGAAAAAATTGAGGGAGGGAAGATGTTTTGCACACTAATCCAATAATTTGAACATAATTTAGCCAACTGCTGCCTTTGTGTATTTCTTCACAGCTTTGGAGTTCTCAGCTCCAGTAGTTCCCTTTTAAAAAGCAAACAAAGAAGCTAGTGGTATTATGTGCAGGCAGTAGTGATCCAAACTCTTCTTGCTCCCTGGTGAATTTACTAAAGCTGCTGTTTTACCTAGTCCAAAAGTTTCAATTATTTTCTATCTGGCAAGTCAAATACTTTGAAGCTTCACATGAGATCAGATGTCCCAAGTTTTATGGGATTACACGTAGTAAACACCAGAACTGAAACTTTAGAGCTAAGGTCTTTTTGGAAAAAAAAAAAAAAAGAAAAATGCTAGTTTACTTGCTGCCTCTCACACCTTAATGTGATTTCATATGTATGTGTTTTTGAAGTTTAGCTTCCTTTTGTTTCTTTTATATTTATTAGAGTAATAATAATGCTTTAATTTAATTATTACAGAACATATGGTCAACATCAACTTTTATTTTTTAGAAATGTAACCATGTTTATTTTTAAAAAACTGACAACTTGTTTTGCTATCTTTTAGTGCAATAAGCGTTCTAAAGGAAAACTGTGTCCATTGAGCTGTACTAAAGCAGTGTTTGCACCACTAACTGTGGAAGTATGGACACCTCCATGATTTTAAAAGGACAAAGTAAAAGCCTTAATTTTGAAAGGAAAGTTTTATAGTCAGAAGGAATCTTGAATTTTCCTTTTTTAAATCAAAAAATAGCAAAAATGCTTCTAGAATTCTGCAAGCTTTACTTGTCACTGCAGTATTTTGATTTAACAAAGGAATTGGCCGTATTTTTTGGCTTTGAAATGCAGAGGATATTTGAATTAAATGGAAAGAGTTTTTTATTAAGATCTAAGTTTTTACATGCTTAGTTAAACCTGTTTGACATCAGTACAATGTCTGGAATTAATAAAAAGTTTTTAGGCTTTTTTCCTCTTTGATAATGACTTTCCTTTTAAAATTAAGTTATTGGTAACTTCATTTCACTTTGCAAATAAAGAGGGCTGGGATAGTTCTAACATGTTAAATCACTGAAATGTGAAACAAATTAATGGGGCTCTTTCATTCCACTTTAAAGGTAAAACAATATTTAAGATGTCAGAGACGAGCATTTCTTCAACGAGGGGACTGGGGAGTTTTGCACTTTGTAAACTCGTGAACTGCATTTTTGACTGTTTTTATTTGCACTGGTTCATAGTATATATACTGCAGATCGTTTGTATGGGCATTGCTGTTATCCCAGCCCTTCTGACCTCCACCTGCTCTCCACATGAAAACCAGTGGCTTGGGATAAGTAGCTTATCTCCTGTCGTTCTCATGAAATCCACTGTTTGCCAATATACTGTATTTTGAGCCTAAAATCTGAGCCCGTTTTGCTTCAGCAGGCATGAATCTGCCCCAGTTTTTCTGCCAGAAAACCAAGTACTGTATTTTGTGCGTTTGTATATTGTGTTGAAATGTACGTCGTGCTGATCACAACACTGTCTCAAAGAGCTTTACTAAACAGTTAGTGTATATTTACATGTTTTATCTCCCAGTATTGAGGAAGATAATGTAAAAAGACTAACTTCAGAGTTGAAATTGCACTGGAAATAGCTGTGGCAGTGGACAGCTGGCTTGGGGGTCCTGGAGAGGAGGTGGGAGGGTGGTCGAGGGGGACTCAGCAGACCCTGGTGTGTCCCAGGGGGGGTCCTGGGAGCCGCACACCTTCGCCAGCGGCCCCGGCACCGGCCCCGCCGCGCTCTCGGGCTGCTTCGTGCACTTCCCTGCCAGCGCCGTGGGATAAACCTGCCGCAGGGAGCGTGGTGCCACTGCAGAATTTGGGCGAGATGGCTTCCCAATAAGTGTCTCAAACGTTTTTTTCTTGGTCCGCCACCTGTCAGGTTTCTCTCAGAAGCACTCGAGCTCGTAGTTCTCTTTATGAAAGGTCCAGGTTAGGCTTTTTACAGAAAATTGTTTTAAAATCGAGACTCGAAAACAAAAAAAAAACTAAACTGTTTTACAAACACGTCTTGTGGATTTCTGATGTTTAGATGAAAATTCCTTTTTAAAAAGTCGTTTAACGCTCCTTTCAAAGACACTGTGTGCTTCTCATCCCGCCCGCGCTCAGCGACTATGATTTGAGAAGCTTTTTTGCTTGCTACTTTCACCAAAAAAGTAAAGAAACTTCACTGAGAAAGGTGACTTAAATTACTCGTCGAGCTAGCGTTTTACCTGGTTTTCATGTGAAGAGTATTTGGAAGTTTTAATCTCTACTCTTGGTTTTGCAAATACTTACGTAAAGTGCCGATACTTATTTGTATTTCGATATCAAGTTTCTGGCGTTGTGAGGGCCACACATTTATGATGCTGTAGCTGCTATATTTATTTGAATGGAGATGGACAATTACTGCACTAAGGAACGAGGAGATAAGCAAGGAATCAAGGTTAGTTAGATAATCTTGGGTGGTTTTTTTTTTTTCAAAAGAGAATTAATGGTGTGAAATATCAAGTGTAACAAAGGGTGCTGTCATTTTAACTGAGATTAAATAGCCAGATATTCTTCCTTTGTTTAAAAACATATATATTTTGATGTTTGCAGTTCGGGGGTGGGGGGTCGGGATAAATGGTACCTCATCTGTGGTGGCAGTTTCCAGTATATTTTCAGAGTATATGGATTTCTTTTATTTTTGTACCTGCTCTCCTTTAAAAAGAAAAAAAAAAAAATCTCAAATTTTATGTGCTGTTTGGGGAAATTTTGAGTGGCATACCAGATCCCCTCTCTTGCCGGGAGCTGTCTGTGTATAGTCCAAAGAGGGACGTGGCAAAGGCTGGCAGTTCTCCTTGCTTTGCAGACGTTCTGGCCTCGGTTTTACGCCTATCTAGAAAAACGGTTCCCGTCTCCTAAGACACTGGTACCAGTTGACTGCACCGAGACCTCACTTGTACTTAACAAGTGCCACTGATTGCTTCCGTGGTGGGAGCACGCCCGAGGGCCCCGGCGCTGGGCTGGGGAAGGAGCAGCCGTGGGGCATCGGCCGCGTGGCGCTGCTGGTGCCGTGCCAACCGCGGTCGCTGGTCCCGGGGCTGGTGGCAGTGCCGAAACCTGCGGTCTCATGACTGGTAGATCTGGATTTGGACAGAAGTAGAGTTTTTTGTAGTTGAGACGTTAAACTTGCAAGGTCTGCCAACAGAACGACTTGACTCCACTGTAAGTAGCATTTTTTTCTGTTGTAGGGCACTTCAGCCGTGGCCGTTTTACTCAGGATCGCTGAATTACCGTTCAGTGTGTCATCTGGTTAAACGCCTCCAAAAGTTACTTTTATAGGGTGCATCTTTTTGGAAGTTCGTTTGGCCACAGAAATGGTTTTCAGGAGTAAAATGGGTTTCTGGAAGTTGTCAGTCAAATTATTTCGAGATGCAATCGGTCTAAAACTATTCTCGCTTCTTCAGTTGCGAATATTTGTTCTGTAAAATGCTCGACATAAGATACCAGACAGTCATCTTCTGTACAAATTCCAGCTACAAATACTGGTTTTCTACTAGTCTTGAAGTCCACTCTGAAATTCCAGGCTCAGCCTACACTTAAAAAAGCTTGAGGCCTTTTTTTTTTTAACACTTTCTTCATATCTTGTCCTCTTTTAATGTTTTCCCGGTTTTGTGAACTGAGGGTTTAGAACCTTCCTCAAAGCACTTTTGTAACCAAGGAATCAAAAGTTCAGATTATGTACGTTGAAACTAGAAATTAAGTTTTCCGAGATTGTTCTTTCTAAATGACCATCTCAGTCTCCGGTCATGCCGAGTGGGTCCTCTGTCCCTTTCAGTGCGGTGCAGTTTCGTGGCTGCTGCTGGCAGGTTGGTTGGATCTAATGGAAAAAATCCATAGGGATGTCAAAGGGGAAGATTTCTGTCTGTCTTTCCTACCCAAAGATGGTACTTTAGATTGATACTGGGTGTTAGGATATAATTTTGTTTGGGCACATGTTGAAATAAAGCTTCACTTGGCCAATTCACTCATCGTTTTTTGTAAACCCGACAAGGTGGTGGTTAGAGCGTGAGCTGGTGCTTTCTGCTAGTAGAAGATTTTGTACTTTCAGTAGTTGAGGGATGAACAAGATGGGTACAGGATCCTACGTTTTACCTCCCTGGCAGAATCTCAAGAATCCTGATGTTTATGACACTAAACCAAAACCAAATTGTTGTCCCTGAGCAGGCAAAGGTGCGTATGGAGGGGAAGGAATCGCAAGGGAGAGGCTTTCGAGGGAAAACAGCGAAGCATCAGTTTTGCAGAAACAAGGATGTTGGTGGAGAGACTCTGTCCGCTTTCCATCGCACGTGCCCTGGCCTTTTCGAATCCTGTCTGAGGTACCCCTCACCTAACACGGGTAGTTAACCCAGGGTCCTTTTAAAACAAATCAGTTCCACTGTTTAAATCTTGGAGTGATTTTTTTTTTTTTTTTAAGCAAGACAGTCCTCAGAAAGTGCCTTTTTAGAAGATGGTGCTGTAGATTTTTATTTTCCAGTTGTACGTGGCTGAAAATTTAAGATAAATTGTTGAAAATGCCAAGTGTTTGATGGTATCTTTCAGGTACTTTCAAGCATCAGCTTCTCTGAGTCAGGACCAAGAATAACCAGAAGGTGTTTTCATTTGGAGGGAGAGGCATCGAGGAGCGATCACCAAATTCAGCTGGTAGGCTAGAATCAGTTTTGACTTAGTCAATGCAATTTACCTCTTCACATTGAGGGGGTATGTGGCCGGGGGGGCGTAGGAGGAGCATGAGA